TATGAGGGCGAAGAGGGGATGGGGGGAGGGGGGGGGGGGGTTGTCTGTGTTGTCTGTGTCTGAACCACTCTCCTGATCACAGGTTATTGTGGAACAGCTGCTTTGTCATTTCATCATCATTACTGGCTGTCCATCAAAGCTCAGCACCTCTGAGCTGCTCTTTCTAAACCTCTGGACACAAAGAGCAGATGGCATTGAGGGATGAAGACTATGTTTGGCTGATGAAATGTGGATGTGTTTCAGACAGACAGAGAGAGAGAGAGGGAGACCATGGTTTGATGAATAGCTGGCAGAAGGACAGTCTGTCCCCTCTGGATGCCACCTGCTGGGTGTCCTGTCATGATCTTGGCACCACAGTTACTGTGTGAAAGACCCCACTGCAATATCTGTCTGCACCACTACCTGCTGTCTCCCTGACTCCCTCTGCACCATCCTTCTTCACCTTTATCTGGACTGGGTTTTGGAATTAAAGGTTTGGATGTAAAAGTCATCCTTTTTTAGTTTAAAACGTTTACTTTAAAAAAACACAGAAATATTAAAAAAGGTAAATATGAAACACTGAAGCTAAAAAAAATATGAAGAGTAACTACAAAATAATGGTACAAAATGACAAATCATAAGTCATGTTGTCCCGTCCTGTTGGTTAAGACAATATCAAAAGCTATAAGAATGTCCATGTGTAACTCAGTTTGTCAAAAAAAAAAAAAAAGAAATGAATGTTAATATGCCTTAAATTAGCCTCTTTAATGATCAACACTTAAAACTCCAAAGTCAATGATCCAAGATGGATTTCACTATTTTAATGCTGTAAAAAGGTTCTCCCCTGACCGTCCAAACCCAGTCTTTAGCTCCAGTCTCATCTCATTTACAGCCAGCTGACTGCCGACTTCTGATCCTTTTAACCTCAGATTGTTCCAAAGATGAATGAAACACTGCCCAAGAAACTAAACGTCTTTTCCCCGTCTTCATTTTTCTACCATTGCTCCCATCTTTAGCTGCCACCACCCCTCGACCTTCAGCCCTCCTGCGAAGATGGATGCGAGGGCTGCTCGGCAGCAGCGGTGTGGCCATTTGGCCATGTGATGAATGGCGGTAATTACCTGTAGACGTAATTAACGAGGTCCAAGAACTGGGCATTTAACTCAAGTTCATCGGGGAAACGTTTCTCTATGTAGGTCATCATCTTCACCAGCAGGATGGACTTCTCACGTAGGTTTGGCATCTGGGGTTGGAGGGTGGGACAAAGGAGAACATTTGGAAATGAAGGAAGGGTCAGAAGAATAAAAGTTTTCAGCCTTTCCGCTCCTGACTGTCTGCTCTCCTCCCACAGCTTAGAAGAAATAAAGAGCAAAGGCTCCTCTGTGGGTATTATGCTAATGTTAACCTGACTGGACGGAAAATGTGCTTTGCTTGTTGTTTGCCCCAAAAGGTTTCACACTTTTTAAAATGTACACTGCTGATTCAGTTTCTTGGATTCACACCTGCTATTATCAGGGAAATAATGCAGCTGTCCACTGAATTCCATCCTTCTCCACAGCCCAGAGGACAGCTTTATTTTTATTGTTAAATTCAAATTCAATGGCCTCCGTGCCGATCTAACGGAACGCTGTGATGATACATAACGCACAGAGCATAGAGGACGACTGAGACAGAGAAAGATGCTGACGGAATAAGGTCAAGCTTCCGCCGCTGGAAGATAAAAAACCAAAACAAACTAAAACGTCCTCCTACCTGGTTGGCGGCCATGGGCGAGTTGTTCTTCACCCACTCTTCCACGATTTTCACCACCGCTCGCAGGATTTTTGGATCGGGCGACTTCTCGATCAGAGAGGTGAGGATGACTTGGATGAAGTTCTTCCTCATTTCCATAATCATCACAGACAATCGAGTCTTCACCAGGTCTAGACTCAGCATCACCAGTTCACTGGTCACTGTTGGACAACTGTTAGGTTAATTTACAACTTGGTTCTCAAACTATGGTGACTGTGCCACAGGTGATACTAGGTGACCTCTGGAGGTGTGAAAAGAAATGTGTTTTTTTATGCATACATACAAGTACAACGTAAAGGTCCTGAATCAAATTAAAGTAGTTGTAGTGGTACTTTGAAGAGAAGTATTTCTAGAGAAAGTACGCACTATAAAAAACTTTGAGAACCATTGATTTCACGCATACAAATACATGAACATTTGTTGGAGGTAAAGACCTTGTTTGTCAGGTGGCTCTTTGGTCTCAGTGACTCCGACTGCTCCTATCGGAAAGTAAATGCCTGTGTTTGCCGATATAGTCATTAGTGGCCCATTAAAAGCACTGATAGCATCTAGCAACCATTAGCTCCCGGTCTGAAGTCAGGGGAATTACGTTTGGTCTGCTTGGGCAGACCTGGTGAAGCCCAGACCAGAGGAGGAAGTGGACAAGGACTTTTTAAAAAGGTTTCTATTTGACAGAATAAAGTAGTTAAAGCAGCAGGGCTTGAACTTGTGAAACTTTTTAAAACTTTTCTGGTGTCAACACCAAAACACCATAAGTCCTGACCTTCCTCAATGTCCAGAGTATAACTAGTAACTGTAATGTTTTTTTGACATGTACATGGGTATTTATCAGAGAATGTGCTGTACCACAGTACCTGTGCTGGTCTCTGTCACCCCTGGGTTGGCCTGCTGTGGGCTCAGGTGTTCCCTCACCATCTTCTGCAGCGATCTCATGAACACGGAGATGAGGCGGTCGATGTAGCTGGCGTTGTAGCTGCAGGCTGACTTCAGGATCATCAGCGTTCCTGGACGACAGATGGATGAGAAGAAGAAGCAGGTGAGAACGCAGGAAATAGAGTGGGAATTGAACCACCATTCATGGTACACCGCCCCATGCCATGAAAAACCTGGATTCTAATTCTATTATTAATAATAATAATAATGTTATTTTCAGCTAGACAAGTGGCCCCACAGAGCTGCTCATGTAACATCCATGTCAGATGATAACGATGCTCTTCTGTGAGGCTGCAGCTCGGGGGGCAGACAAAAGTTAAAAAATGTTGAAGGCAGACAGATGTGTCATGGCCACAGCAGCTGTTATTGACCACAACTGCCATTTTGGGGAGCCTTTACTACAGCGTTATCTTTGACTGCTCCCCTGCAGCCGATTCTTCACCTTGAAGAAACTTTATTTTGTAAGGCTATTGTATTGCTTTAAAAATTGCAGGGAGAAATATCAGTAATACTCTCCTAAGAATAAGCCTTTAAGTATATTATCCATGAGAACTCCTCTACAGCTGTGTGGATCGGAGCAATGTTTGTTCAGGGAGAGAAGTCCACGGCAGAAATCCTAAATCCCTGGACTGTGGCCTTGGTTTAAACAAAGCAGATGTTAGATGGAGAAGCCCGGCCCATCACCCTGCATCTTAACGATTCTCTCTGGCTTAATTGCTAACATTGACTGAGAGGAAGCTTATGTGGGAGTGTGAAAAGTTAAAAAAAAAGGAGACAAATAAAAACTCAACGTTTATGAGCGTCAAAGTGGGACGACACAAAAGGAGGAATGAAAAGGCAGAAGTGGACGGATGGACGTCTTACCGAAAAGCTGAGTGGGGTTGGTGTTACTTGTGGCTTTTTCATAGTTGGTCAGTCCCTCGTAGATTACTTTGCCCACGGCGGCGTACAGACATTCCAGTTCCTCATACTTTGACGCCACAGTTGAAGTGCCTAGAGGAAAGGAAAGCAACATTTGTCCAGAATAAATAAAAGATGAAAAACTAACAGATCCAAATCCAAAGTGTGAGGATAAATCATAGAATTCTTCACTGTAAAACACTTATGTAATTCTACTAAAATAAGTATTTTGAACACACCTTTTTTAATCAGTGCAACCATGTACTGTCATCTGTTATAGTTTATGGTCAACTTACTTGGCTCTGTGGGAAAGTTGCTCATGAGGCGAGACAGCAGAGAGTGGACCGCCCGCAGGACTTTGGTATTTCCACAGGTCATACAGGCAGCGATCCCTCGCTGCAGGGGCTTGAAGTGGGCCAGGATGGCCGGGGACTGGAGAACAGTCAACAAGAAACACAGGATCTCCAGCCCGGTGCAGATGTTGGAGATGTTAGCCTGTGCTGGTTGCTCCTGAGGAGGAAGGAGAGAAGAAGATTGGATTTTGAATTCATTCAATTCGGACTCCAGTCTTCCACAGACCTAAAGCTTTTAGAACTTAATATTCCACACACAGGCATTTCTCATAAGCTTTGTGATTGCCACTAAGCCAAAGATCAATGGCCAACATCAAGCACTAATTTTGTCTAAATTGCAATCAAGGTGTACAACTATAGCAGGGCCGTAGAGGATAAACTGGGCCAGATCAGTGACACTAATCTTGGCTAATGAACAAGGTGACTCCTGTGATAAGACCCGCTGGTAGATGTTAGGGCTGCTATTGATTTGGCACTGTATTAACAGGACGGGACCTTCGTCTCTGGAGCCGTGCAGATAGGATACAGGCATGTCGGTGCTTGAGTGTCTGATTGTGTGCATGTCCTCTGCCCCCTCTTCATTTGCCCTCTTGCACCACTTGTCCTGGCTCTTCATCACTGTCGTGACGGTACAATAAGATGATAAAGGGTAATCCGATTCAGTCCATTGTTCATTAGTCCAAGCAGGGCTCCTCTGGGCAGGTGGAGCCCCCTCTCCAGGCGAGAATTGGGCCATGGACAGGAACGTGCATGTGCATAAAAGCCATGCAGATCTGGATCTTTTTTTTTTTTTCAGGGACGTCCCTGTGGGCTCTTAAGGGGTTGGTTGGAAAAATATGTGTATGTGTGCGTGTGCGTGAACAAGAAAAACGTGCTTTCAAGGCACAGACCCCCAACAGAGAACAAGGTAAGTACGTGACAACTGCCAGCAAATGTTAATAACCTCATCTGAACAGTGGAGCCAAATCAGACCAAAGAGATGAGCAGGGAACGAGGGAATAAGAGATAAAAGAAGAGGAAGAGGAGCCCGCGATAACAGAATAGAAATGAGAATGTGCAGGTTGGGCGACACAGAGAGACGGAGGAGAGAGAGTGGGGGGGGGAGGGGGAGTTCAGGACAAAGAGGAGGAGAGGGGTTGTTGAAGGCACAGGCCAACCCTGATAGGCCGCCGTTATCTCACCACTGTCATTATTTTGTCATTATGAAGGTTGGCGCCTGACTTCATGTATTACTGATAACAGACAAAAGGACTTGAAGGCATTAGTGCAAACACGAAGATGGGGCTTAAGCAGCGAGAGGGGAAACTTCTGCTGCCTCTACCAGGATAAACAGTGAAAACACATTAGTAATCCTCCACTGTTTACTTTTTATTACTCTGAAGTGTAACAAAAACACGACGGAATATTTTCGAGTGGATGGAAGATGTGGATGACATCGCCTTTCAGTGGAAACTTCAAATAATTAGAGGATGATTCACATAAACAAGCACAGATTCCAATTCCAAGTCCCACTTCACCAAACAAAGAAAAGATAAAAACGACTTAGAAAGTTTGAATTCTTTAAAGGTTGAATGCAAGAAACTCACTAACCCAAAGATGTCAGACTCGCAGCTGTAGATATCTTCACCCTTGTTTCAAAGTTACAGTGCAGTCCTTATCATACCACAGCCAGTCATGGCATGACTGATCCGTCTGATTGGATAATTCTGGTCAGCCAACCCGAACTTAAGTAAAAAGTGTCTGAGGTAAAAGTTTCAAGACCGAGAGATCGGGGGGGAAAGAAGCGTGCAAATAAATATAAAACTATTTTCTTACCACCGTCATGAGCAGCTTGTCGAACCACTGCAGCTTGAGCTCAGCGCGGGGCCACATGTCAGGTCTGAGGGCAGTCTTCATCAGGCTGACACAGCGACGGGACAGCAGCTCTCCTGGAGACCCGGCCACGTTGGTGCTGTCGTTCACCTTAACATGAGGAGGGGGGGTGCATTAATATCACTCTGTGTGAGTAAAGATTTACCAATAATAACACAGGGGGGCTTTGACAGGGCAACAGCACACAGCACTGTCACTCTTAGAGGAACACTTTCACAGTGACACAGCCAAAAAGGGAACTGTTATGACAAGTTCTCTGTGCCAAGGTTCCCTGAACGAGACAATAGGCCCTCGGTGTTGTTCTCTACGGCTGATGGTAATCCTGAGGGCAGGAGGAAAGACAAATTTTCCACAGGGATCAACTGAGTATCACACTACAGCGAATACAAAGGAAAGATTATGTTCCTGCAGCCTGTTCTGTGAGCGGTGACTGATCCCCAGCACTCAGGCACAGGTACTGTATTTATGCAGCAGAGACAGTTGGATGAACAGTGAGAATTTTCTGCTTGGCACCAGAAATAATAATAAAAAAGAAGGAAAACTCAAGGTGATCTATTAAATCTATTTTGGGCTCAACTCCAGGGTCATCACTGCCACTGAAGTGAGGGACAGTGTGTGCGTGTGTGTGTGTCTGTACGCAAATGCGTTAAGGACAGCCACAAGGTGTGTCCTACCTTCACCAGTGAGGGGTTACACAAGTTGTGTCCTACCTTGCAGGCGTTATGGTTGGCAAAACTGTACCCAGTGAATGTAAGGCAGATAAGCCATCAGAGTGTGTGTGTGTGTGTGTGTGTGTGTGTGTGTGTGTGTGTGTGAGACGGTGCTACCTGACATGCAATCCTGATCAGGAAGTTGACCACTGTGTCTGTATGCAGTTTCTCCACAGGCTTGGTGAGCATGGTCTCTGAGCCTGGCATGGACTGGGCACGGCCAAATACCTGAAAGATGCAGAACAACGCCATGAATAGTCAAAACATCAAGTGGTTTTTTTTTATTTTTTTATTCAAAGAAATCAAACCCTAAACTCAACAGACAACCGACCACTTCTTAGTTCCTGGTATTTTACTTAATCTATTTGTACCACATCACCCATTTGTTGTTTGTTTGACTAATGAATTCCTGGTTTTGTGACTCATGTCTTTTCCAGGGAGAAAAGCCAATCCAGTGACAGAGGCTGCAGAGAAGCTGCAGCTTGAAATCCTCAACAACAGACATCTGTATCTGGTTGTTACAAAATGTTAGGAGCATTTCTTGCATTTTCCTGATAAACCAACAAATTGTTCCATAAATTTTGAAGCTGTGTGGCATGAAATGTGCTCCAGATGAACCTGATACCCATTAAAGTCCATCTCCTTTCATACTAGTTAAACTGGGGCGAAAGAAACAAAGGTATAGGCCACCAGATTAATTTTTATATAACAGCTTTTTGACATTCCTTGAGGAGCTGCTCACCATGAACAGGTTTTAATCTTATTTGTATTAATTCCTTGGTGAAATCATGAAAACATCTTGGACTCAGCTCACCGTGGAGGCAGCTCCAGTCGCCGTACGGAACCTCTTGACGTCCTGACCGGCGGCGGTGGAGGCTGAGTCCAGGGACATTCCTCTTTTCACAGCTCCGCTGGTCCCTTCACCACCGGCAGCTGCTTCACCTTCAGACTCAGGCTTGTCCACCGAAGGAGAGGGAGAAACCAGGATGACAGAGTGGAGAACAAAGGTTTGTTTACATATAACATCAGGTCGGGTTGCCTATTGGGCTGGAAGCGGACGTAAATGTGTGTTTATTCAAGCGTAAAGCCACAGACCTGATGATCTTTGATTCTCTGTAACTCCCACTTGATCACCACCTCTGCCAGGTCCACGGCCAGTTTCCTCTGCTCGATGGTCACACTGGGGGTGAAGCCCAGACGCTGCATTGCACTGATCATGTGCTGCACCAGGTGGTGACGCACAGGGTAGTAGACCTGCAACGTTAGAAACCAAAGACATTAGGGAAAACTGCAACAACTGAAATGCAGGGATGATCGCACTACAGGAATGACATGTCTGACTCTTTGTGAAGAATTTATACAGTGATAACGTGCCAAATAAGGACCAAAAGTATTAGGAATCAAATACTTTTTTACTGCATCCTGAATCTGAACACACTCAATGTAACAACAATGACAGTTCTCTTCTATTGTCCATGCCACTCTGAGGATGGTGGAGAAAAAAACGCTTGAGTTTTAAATCAAAGTGTCAAGTCATTGGGACTCGTCAGGAGAAGTCAACTCTAACTCTGTGTTCCCTTCTTCAGTCTCAAGGACGTGGCAGCGCACACTTAGTCCCAAGTGCTCAAAACTCAAGTCATTCGGCATCGTCTCAATCCAAACTAGGACTCTCAAACAACGAGACACGAGCGGACAAAAGCGCTGGAGATGAGATGTCTATCCCGGGGCTGTTGGCAGTGTCAAAGAATATTAGAGCGTCACGTTCTGAGGGTAATTACAGTGAATGGAGCAGGACTTCACAGGCCTTTAATGACAGAGCGGCTAAGCCCTGTCCATCATCTACACACACACACACACACACACACACACATCACTTCATCTCAAAGTCACACACACGCACATGCACACACAGCCTCTCATCTGTCTGTCATTATCTCCTCCCCTGTGTAATTATGCTGATGTGATTACATTAGATTAGTCATCTGGCCCAGTGAGAGCAGGCTGACAGTGAGTGTGTGTGAGAGAGAGAGAAAATGTCTGGGAAAATGTCAGTCTTTGGCCCAGAAAACCTTCTCCTCTGAGTCCGTGGAGAGGGTGAAAATATGACGAAGTAGCCAGAGAGCAGAAAAAGATTAAATAAATAAATAAATAATTTAGGGAGGAGGATAGACATAAAGACCAACGAGCCTCTTCTTTAGTGCCAGGTCACACAGAGACTCTTGTCTGTGTGTATCTGCCTTTGTTCATTATGGAACAAAAATGTTTCCCGAGCCAGAAAAATCAAAAATACAGAACAGGTGGAAAAAAAACAAAACAAAAAGGTTCTTTGTTTGGCAAAGAAAACCTTAAAGTGAGAAAACACAGTCTGAAATAATCCCTTTCAACAACTTCACCAAACCTAAAATTATTCCAAATCTAAATGTGACAGTGTGACATCTTCAGGCAGAGGCCATGGCTGTTTCCTCAGCTGCCCCTCCCTCCACCTCCTGTGGCTGCAGCGTTACCTCAAAGCCCATTGAAATAAATCAAACCCTGACATTTTACTGTCGGTAATTAGTCAAGCTCATAAAACTCCTGAGAGTCTGTGTGGTCTATATTGATATGGAAGTCATAGCGGGAAGTCTGTCATGATTACCGTAAAGTAGAGACAGAAATCAGATTTGTTTTGACTGCCGTCTGCTCATAACCTCAGCCCGAGCAGATCAATAGGTTCAATAGTGATGATAAAGTGATTTACAGGAGGGAGTCGGGGCACTGACCCACGCAACCGTCCGTGTTCCTTTCACCGACTTACCCTAAAGTGCTGGACGATGAGATGGAGGATGTGGACCAGCTGTGGCACCGTGTGGCCCTCCTCCACTATGATCTTTCGTGTCCAGTGGGTCAACATCTGGTGGCCATCCTCCATGCGGGCGGGAACGGCAGGGGTCAGTATGGCCATGGCCTGACGAACAATGGCTCGAGCCTCCATGGTGTGGGCCTTCAGCAGGCTGTGGAAGACCTGGAGCACGACATGGACCACAGTGGAGTGTGAGAAGATGGGTCATTGACATGATAACTGGTGGTGACTGGGTGAAGGAACACGTTGATGGCACTAAAACATTTGGTTGGACTTTTTATTTAACAAAAGCAATAAAATTAATTCTTCACCAACTTTTTCTTCTGTTTTCATTACACCCCGCACCCCCCGCATCTCCCCCCCACACAGCCTCTGCTGTATTGTTAGCATTAGTTTCTCTGATGATGATCAACCTTACACACACAAACAGAGAACGTCATCATCTCAGTGATTCTATTGTTTTGTGTGTACTTTCTGCACAGATTCATTGGACTTCCCATGGTTTTCTGACATTCTCAACAGGCTTTTCATTTTCTCTGGTTGCTCCTCACCTGCAGAACGATCTTCTTGTGAATTGCGAACTTGGCGATGATGTGAGCCAGCAGTAAGTGACCGCTGTATTTGCAGGCGGGGTCCACGCAGGCTTTGGGCAGCAGACAAGGCCATGCAAAGGTCATGAGGCGTCGCAGTTTGCTGTTGCGAGATTTGTTGTTGTCGTGGATGTGGTGTGGTGCGTGCTCCACCAGCAGGGTGGAGAACTGAAGCAGGCAGATCCTCAGTGAGTCCAGCAGGTCGGCCTGCTTCTCTGGGTCCAGAACCTTAGAGAGGGAACAAGAGTTTATTCAGACCTCAGGTTTGTTTCAGGTAAAACAGCCCTGCACTGTAAGTGTAACTGTGACATCATCCAGGTGATTTGGTGCACGATTAAAGGTTCAGTGAAAAAGTGAACCAAACCAAATGAAGGTGTGAAGCGTTTGAAGTCCTTCACATTTGAATGGCACTGCAGAACAACAACCTTTTCACACAAAATATGTGATAATCATCAGAATTTTTCAGAGAGAAAATACAGGGGAGAAGAGACGCTGGGAGGAGGAGGGCGGGGGTGAGTTTCAGGCAGAGCAAGGACGAGCCATTAGCAGCCATTAGGCCTGGTGTTAGAGGGTGATGAGATCTGCCACCGCACAAACAACAAACATGTTGACCTTTTGCGTGGTCACAGTGTGACATTTGCACCAGGAATTATCATCTGTCCTGATGAATGAAAGGTGATGGAACGACTAACCAGCTGTACAGACGGGTGTGGTGAAGAACGGGGCGAGGGGTTGAGGGGGAGGGTAAATGGAGACAAATGGAAGAAGGGAGAATGGGAGAAGAAATAGACAGCATGTCGGCAATGAAGTGATGGAAAAGAAGAAGGATAACTGGAGCAAGTGGGCTGCTGTTGATGATGACTGAGCATGGAGACGTGTTGGACCGATGGGACGCCGTGAGAGGAAATGCTGCAGGTAATGAAATCACAGAGGCCGACGGAGAGAGAAAGACAGAGTTGTCAAATAATGAGCAGAGAAAGCACAGTTGGGTCTCAGGAGGATTTATGGGTCGCAAAATCTTGTGTTTTTACAAAGATTTATGTTTGTTTCACAAAGAACTTCACAAAGAACACCACACAAAAGGTGGCCAAATCATGTGAAAGACTAAAAGGCTGTGCAGGACATAGAGAAAGAAACTGGACATTTGTACCTTAGTGATGAAGACACTGGTGATACTCTCGGGGTTGTCCCCCTCTGGGTTGGGGGGTCCCAGCAGCTGCTCTCCTTCCCCTTTCTCAAAGCTGTGCAGGAAGGCTGGATTCAGGATGTGCTGCAACACCTGCGGTGAAAAAAAAAAAAAAAAACCATCAAGGACATTTTCATGATATGGAACCAAAACCTATTTTCCAGTTAATTGGGGAAAAAATACAACTTTCATGTCTGGGATTTAAAACTCCTGAATTTTCAAGGAGCAGCTTTTGATAATCTCACTGAGAGCAAAGCTCTGAGGAAGAAAGGAACTAATCAGTGGAATCACCCAGTGTGGTCTTTTTAAATAAAATAATCAGTGCAATGAACACTCACAGTTATAAAACAGCCATGTACTGTAAAATTAACTCTAAAATGAGGCAGATGCCAGCCATTCCCAGAATAATAAGAACCTGGAAAAGGAGTTGATTCATCACGTGGGGAGAAATTAAGTTAGCATTTATGGCACACTGGAGATATAGAAATGTCAGACGTGACCTTAAACAATGGCCATAAAAGAGTGTGACATTTAAAGAATCAGAGGAGAAAAGACTTTTCCCCACTCATGGGGATGATATCGTCATAAAGAGCCATAACCTGTTTTCTTAATTAACCGACTGAATGACTGCTGGGGCCCAGGCTAAAAATGCTATTTCCTTCTGCTGCTGGAACCTGTGGGGTTTGAGCAGCAGGTATCTGTGAGGGGAGACAGAGACCTGATTAGCTGGAAGAATGCAGAGTAACCACGCCATGATAAAAACTAACGACTGCATTCATTAAAGGAGCCCCTATGTTTTAGCGAAGCTTGGTTTTCCATCCTTCACTGAGGACAACGGGGCATCACTCAAGAGCTGTGGCGCAACATATGTTCCAGCTCCTCCGCCAGGCAATTACTCAAAAACACACAGAATGATCTGCACAGCAGGACGGTCGTGAGTCAGACAAGTGAAGAAACACCACAGTAAATTATAAAAACATCTAAAAGTCTATGGGTTGCATTTATCTTTGAAACAATTATTTCACAAGAATTCTACAACAAGAAACTACACTGAACATTCACCTTGGCAAACGTGGGGAGAAAATAGTCCCAGGAAGAAAATCTCCAGCAGATCCAGAGCCAGTGTTGAGGCGTCTGCCTTGGCAAACTCAGGGCTTACATTTAGTCATTTGTAGTGAATTCAAAGCCAAGCATGGGCTGGTTTTAAGTTGTATTTTGGAAAAAAACTTTAGCTCTGTTTTGGACTGTGCTATTGGTGGCGCCACATACCAATTACCAGGCCAAAAAATGAACTAACAAAGAAACAGAACATTAAAGTGCAGCAGTGGGTTTCATAGAGTCAGTGCACTTTTTTTTTTTTGTTTGCTTGAAATCGATGACTAGTCAAAGCAGCTTTGGAAGCAAAAGGAAGCACAGTGCAGTTTTTCTGAGCGAGCAGTTTGGGACAAACAAAGTATATGATGGAGGAGCAGCATGAGGTCAGTCTGTGCCGCCACCCATGATTCATTGCTGCTGTCGTACATCGTCCCTCTCCTCTCTCTCGTACCCACTTTGCTCAGTCTTGCTAAGAGTGAAATATTCTCCCACACGCATTTCCGTGATATAACGCTTCTGGGAAAATGCAAAAAGCAATTATTTAAATAGCAGAGGCAACACACACACACACGGCCATTCCGCAAAGTAACACAAATGTAACTCACACACTAACGCACACAGGCAAACACGCACACTCCGACAGCAGCATCTGCTCGGCACCAGCGGAGCATAATTAAAGGAAAAACAACACAATTCTGCTGTATTTGTGGGGGCGGAGAAGGAGGAGGTTTCTGTGACTCTGAGAACAGCACCATCCGTCAGCTGGACTGTCTGACTTTATTTTGTCTTGTTTTTCCAGCCCACATGTGGCTGAGGCTGAAGAACAACAACAGGAGAAGACAAAAGGCTGACGTCCTGTTTTTCCTATAGAGTAAGAATTCTAACATCTTTAATAACTTACAAACAACAGTAAAATCTAAACTGAATCAATAATGTCTGTCTGTAGCTGCCACCTGCCTTCACACTGGCAAAAAGTGTTGCAGCTGTGAGATTTGTAGGACTATCGTCAGGTGTATCAATAACCAATGACAATCAATGGTTGTTTAAAAATCATCCTTTTCAGACATGGTTGAACTGAAGCTGAAACAGGACTCTGTTACCAAGGACAATGGAGCTATTTTATAAGATAAGGCAAAGATAGTATTGAGAACTCCACAACAGCTAAATGCCATTTGAACATTGATGGTCCACCAGGCCTCAGGAGTGAAACCATACACCTGCACCTCCATGGAAACAAGTGGCTGAAAAGTTTTCCTAGTCGGCCGCATTTTGTTTTTCAAAGCTTCCTTAAACTTTCTGAAGTGTACGTTATAATCACAGTGTGTCTACTGCTTGGTGTTCTGCCACCCAGAAGCCATTTGGCTTTGTTGTACAGTGTGCCATCACAGGATTTCCCCACTGAGCTGTTTCTTGACTACAACGTCGTCACTCCTTCCTCTGCGCCAGGTCGTGTGCCTGTTACAGCTGTGCAAAATATGCAGCCAGACGTGTGTAGGGGTCGGAGGGAAAGTGAGCTTAATTAAAAAGAAGCTCCGGGGTCAGGTGGAGGACAGAGGCATTCATCTGTGGGCCTCTGAGGGTCTACAAGCAGACACAACGACCTTTCTGACTCCCATCAAAGAACTTCTGCTACAGAACACACCCAGCATAAAAGTGTCACAGATCAGGTCCCAGGGAACCTGTGTCTGTCTGACAGAAGGACGAAAGTGACTTCAGATGGTGCTCTAAAAGGTTGACAACATGATTAATAATGTATTTTTTAGAAGATGAATAGGTAACAAAGTCAGCACACATTTTATATTCATTATCAAGGGAAAAAACAAAACTTACTTTTCTTTCTAGGTTTGTCATATGCCGGTGCAAATGGCACAATTCTATATATAACCATATAAAGTCTGTAAAATATGAAATAAGCTGGGACACAAATATGGGTTTGACTCAAGAAAAGCAATAGTTGAGGTGACCAAAAACAAGTCCTGTAGCACAAATGATATGTTAGCTAAATGACTACAGTATTTCTGGTGGGTGCTCCTCACATGACTCTCATGCCTTTATGGTGTAATTACCTTTGCTTTGAGCTCATCGTTGAAATGTGGGTCATTGAACTCGACGAAGCGGAAGAACAGGGCACGTTTCTGGGCTATAGAGTAATTCCGTGGAATCTCCTCTTCCATGTACTCCTTCAGGAACGTCATGTTGCATAAGAAACGACCCGTGAAGGCTCGCAGCAGCTGGAACAGCAGCTCGATCTCCGAGTAGTTACGCCTTGAAGAGGAGACGAGAAGTCAGACTGGTTAGTTCTCGTTAAAAAGGACATTTATGGCAAATGACTGGGAGGGGGATAATAATGACTTATTGTAAGATAATTAACAGTCCCTGTTCACTGCAGGAAACGTGCAAACGTGCACATGACCCTGAGTGATGTGCTGATGCAGTGCAGGGGAATATAATTTGTTTTAAATAAATGATTTGTGTGAGGTTAGCTTTCACATATTCTAAAAACCTTTTTTAGCTGGCTGTACATACTTGCAGTAGCTCAGCAGGCAGTAGGCCAGCAGTTTGGGCTCCTTCCAGTTGGTGGCAGCCATGTTGTCTTTACGGTGTCTATCCTGGAACGCCTCGCTGACCCAGACTCGTCTGAGCTGGCTGACCAGGGAGTGCTGCCCAGCCAGCCAGCCTTCGTCATTCTTCACGATGATGCTGATGATCTGAAAAGAGACAGTGAGACATTTGTCAAACATCTGGACTGACGGGGACATGTCAGGGTGAAATTTAAATACTTAAGGAAATCTTCCTACCTTAATCGCTTGGAACTGGAGGTCCAGGCGAGCTGTGGTGGTGGAAGGAGATCCGGGTCGAACAGTAGCTGCAGTACCAGCGGGAAGCAACAGGTGGACGAAGCGATTGGGATTGGAGGCCAGCACGTCCCTTAGAGGCTTGGCATCTTTGTGTTTTAGGAAACTCTGAACATGGAAGGACATGAAAACTGTGATGACTTCAACTGCAAATCTTACATAAGGAAAGGCCTTGGCTGCAGTGGTTCATTATCTGTGATATTGACTCTAAGAATCAGAAATGGGAGATTTGACTGGAATTTCTCTCAATTTGCCTTTTTTTTTAAAGGACCTGAACCTCAAAACAGGCAACACATCTATCCTTAAAGTCCACTACTGAAGAAGTAAAAAAAAAAGAAGTTTCAATCACAGCAGTGAAAAGGCACTGAGAGGTGCTGGTGTCTGACCATGAACATGCGGCTCCATTGAGGGTCATTGAGCGTGGCCTCCATCATGAAGAGCTCCACCGTCTGAGATGGGTGACGAGTCAGGAACTTGATCAGAGGCTCCCTGAACGGACTGCCAGCCTGAAATGGGTGAGGTGGAAAAAAGTCAAAAGAAAAGGAAAAAGACAATAAATAAAGAATGTAAAACTATAAATGGAATCATTTCCAGAATATCAGTCTATTTCTGGCTGAAGCAGCCCTGTTTAAGACACACAGCCACTGCTCTATATTTCCTGTCAGTACAGAGTATGACCTCTGTGTCCTACCTCGATCAGCATGGCCCTCTCTGTCTTCATGACGACCTCCAGCAGAGGTTTGACCAGAGTCTGAGGAGCGGCTGGGATTAGGTGGAAGAGGTTAATGATGGCAGAGCAGATCTTCATCTCCTGCAAAGAGTCCAGAAAAAAGTGGAGGAAACAAAAAGAAAGTGTGGATGAAGCCTTTGAAAACACCACAGGACCACACATGGACAGTCACAATGGACTCCATAAACAGCCACTGTTGGAAGATGAATCTCATTAAAGAGTCTGTGAATGTCAGTTTCCAACTGGAGAGGTGTGGAGCACAACAGTCTGAGGTAAAAAAATCATGTAGAGCAACAGATGAAGACAGCTCAGGTGATGACGTCCTGATAATCTGGTTTAACCAACTTCTTGGGACAAAGTCTAAGAAAAACAGATCTGTAAGGACAGGAATGTTTCTGACGACAATCACAGACACGTACACACAAAAGTACAGGGAAAACTTCACCACTACTACCACCACCACAACAAGAGCCTAAATAACCAGCACAACATTGGTTCAACTACAGTCGAATCACTAACAGAGAGTCACCAACAGAGGGCGCAACACCAGGTTACATCTCACCTCAACGCCCTCCATCGCAGGCTGTGCCGGAATGGGAGACAATGATCAGAGTCAGCAAACAAGCAGGTGTGTGTGTGTGTGTTTAATCCATAATGAAGGTGAGGTGATGGTGAAATGAATGGTCAGAGCAGCAGCAGCAGCTTTAACCACTGACCTCAGGATAAAAGACTTCTTTGCAGCATGTTATAAAATAACTGAGTGAATGGAACTTAGTTTCTATTAAATTTCGTTATTTCTATAATATATACGATATAATAATATTGATCAGTGAGTCTTTATCTAGAGGATGTCCTTGAAAGTTTTTCCCCCTCACCAAAGTCATTCTTCCTACACTGAGAAGTGACACCAGACTGAAGCTGAAATGACAGAAGACCAATCAAGGCCTCATTTCCAGAATAATTACTTGAGTTGGTTTTTGAAACTTTTGAGGATCCATAACAACTCTGCATATTTCACACTACTCTGTCAACGTGCACACATCCTCTGACCATCACTTTCGGCCGTGCCCACTCCACCCCCTCCACTTTTCTTCCTTATTCAGGTTCGTCTCGTCGACCTCCTTGACCCTCCTTTTGTCGTCGGTGGCAGCCCCACCGTCAACAGGCACAGAAAGCGTGAGCCGGAGGAAGAGACAAAGGACCAATTTGCATCTAATTAAACACATCACTTTGAGGATGATGCAATAGTAAAGTGCATGGAGAGAAGGCACAGGAGAATTTGCTTTTATATCTATGAGAAGAGGACGAGGGAGGAGGAGGAGAGCTGTTGCCCCCCCCTTGCTCTCACCTTTTCTCTGCCTTTACAAGGTTATCTGTCGGGAAGATAATGAGGAGCCGCAGCGCTGGGCTCACCACCGCCTGCCTGGCGCCTAATTAATCATTGATTGTAATATGGCCACTCACGGCTCATCTGGGACCGGACCACAGTGAGGAGGTGTTGACTACATGTGGCTGTAGCTTTGTGTGTATGACCGGTGTATACATTTTAAATTCTGAGCCTTTTCTAGTTTTGGACAGGACAGAGTGCCTGATCAAAGCATGTGCGAGCGTGCGTCCCATCTGGATCATCCAGCTGCAGCAGTCAAACCACGGCCTCAGTCTCACAAGTGAGACGAGGGGGAAGGAGACACACCCACTTATCAGGAGTGATGAAAGCCTGGCGTTTGTGTTACCCCTTCATGTCCCTGGGATGTGAGGGTGAGAGACAGTCTGAGAGGCGCGTACTTACACTGCCGTCGCTGCGTTGGCCTCCTTTGTGTGTGATCACCACCACCTCCATCCACTTCCTCAAGTGTTGCTGGGAAAAGAGATGAGAGAAGTTTCAGGCACTCGGTGTGTGTGTGCGTGTATGTGTGTATGTGTGTGTGTGTGTGTCTCTATAAGATCTGAGTATTTACTCCTGAGATGTACGTAGGTAATTAATAATCAAGTTTGCAGTGTTTCATTACTGAGCGTAGGTTTGCATCAGATCTGCTTCATTAGCCAACAGTCAGTAAATGTAGAGGCAGTTCACGTTCTCAGACTGAAGCCTAGTCACATTAGTACATCTTCATATAACTACAGTTATAAAACTAAAGTTAACAACTTAACATTTGTATGATGATAAACATCCTGATCTTGATGATGGTCCCTCAGGTCAGAGGCGACCTCGGAATTTTTACCCAACCTGGGATCAGCAAATCAACTTGATGTTATTACTGACCTTCAACTAGGTTCAGAGATTCAAAAAAATCAGTGACCCCTGAACAAGGTACAAGAACTATACTGATGACACTGGAAAAAAAATAATCAGAAAAATCCTCCTCCAGACATTGTGATGAGGAATCGTTCATTGTCAGACCCGATCAGTTCATTTTCTCATTAGCATTTCTCAACTTCTATTCAAATGACTTCCAATTTGAGCAAAGCCAAATATAATTAAATTCTCCAGAGGCTGAAATATAACTACAGTCTAAACCTGCAGCACTGTTGTCACTGCCTAAGATTTGAAGTGTGAAATAATAAACACTGTGTGTCAGGATGGAAACAGGACCATGAAAAGATGTGAAAAGACAGAGGCTGCGGTTTTCTCACCATCATCTGGTCACAGAACTTGTCATTGAAGGAGTTGGGGAAGAGGCGCGTGACAGAGGTCAGACGGTTCACCACGTTGAGTGTCAGGCTGCGGTAGTCGCCCAGCATCATAAGCAGGGGGCGCATGTGAGTGTGGATCTGATCCACCTCGATGGTTGCACCTTCCAGGAACTGGATATAAGACAGAAAAGGCACTAATGTAAAGACTCTCTTCTAATGTGAACACTTTAACTCTAACCCCTTAATGCAGTCATGACATTATAGCATTTAGGGCAATAAAAATCTAAAATGCCCACAACACGGAGCAAAGGCCACACAAAAGAGGGCACGGCCAGATTTAAACAAGCGCGCGCACACACACACACACACACACTCATGCATGCCAATGCTAAAACACTGATGACACAAACCCACAACCTCACAAAAAGACAAGAGGGGAATGATGCATGGCAGCCACATTCATTTTCCTCTCAGTGCTGAGAACAAACAATCCATCCTGTATCGATTGGGCCGTGGCAGCGCTCATTAGTGCTCGCGAGGCAGAGATGAGAGAGTGGAGGGAGTTGAGTGGGAGAGGGGGAGGTAGAGAGAGAGAGGAGAGTGGCCGAGCCGAAAGAAAAATACAATAAAATAAATAAATACATTTTGGTGTAGTGAAAAGGAGTGAAAGAGGAGACGAGAGTGAGGTGAGGGGACGAGGGTGAAGGACACAGAAATAGAGAGAGAGAGAAAGCAAAAGCTTTGTGTGAAGATAAGACTCTGAAGATGTCACGAGTTGAAATAATATGATGACAGATGTACTTCTTTATGTTTTACCCTAGAACTGTGATAGAAATATCTACGGTGCCAACCCAATCTTTGAGACCATTATAATATTAACAGGCAACATGTGTTCAAATGCGCAAAGGAGCAGAACATTTTTGGTTATCGTTCTGTAGGCGTACCAGTTCTACCAGTGGAAAAAGTAGGTCCTGAAATGGATCAATTATGTGATAAAAGCAGGAGAGAAGAGCAGATGGCCACTTCAGGGATGCAGAGGAACATTATTAATCCACATTTAGACTGGTCAATGTCTGTGGCTCAGAGGGAGTTGCACTTAGAGTGAATGATGTAGCATGGGTCTCAGCTTTCTAGTCGAATCGATGTGAAAATGCAAAAAAGGGCCTGAAATCAACGTGAGTATAATATTGTCTGGGGCCTTTTACTGAATTTGAAAATGACACACTTGGGTTTTGAGCATTTAGATGCATGTACATTTGAAAGAAATACTAATAAATACAACAACACAAGTACTGGTGGCTGCACTGACCTTCCTCATGCAGGCCTCTCCTGCTTCCTGCAGCTCATTGTTGGTGGAGTTGAGAGCTTTGAAGAGTGCAGCAATGATCTTCTCTCTGGACTGTGGCAGGTAATTACAGGCTGCCAGAGCATCTAAGCAGGAAACAAAGGACAGATGAAACACTTTTGTGAAAGTGTGAAATACGAAACAATTAGTCTGGGATTCAAAGATAATGGTCATGTTAATAGAGGGGGGGCTTTAATAAAGTTCATACAGTGGCACCACAAGAGAAACTTACAAGAGAAAATTACAAACTATAGAATCTTTCAGACTTTCATTTCAATGTGTGTGTTTGTGTGTGTGTGTGGGGGGGGGGGGGGCTTACTTAGGGCAGCAATTCTCAGAGGAACCAGAGAGGGCAGACTCTTATAACAGGGCAGCTTCATCAGAGCGGCGTCTTCGGCCTCACACAGATTCAACAGCTTCACAGAGAGATAAGAGGAAAAATCAGTTTGAGAGGTCAACAGTCAAGATCAGCTGTGAATGCTTATCAGCTCACTGATGCTGCTGCAACATTCAATCAGGAATCAGTTAACTTAATGACGATCAATCGATCAGTTCAACAATAAAAACAGACAAAGAAAAACTTAACTGTCATAAATTCCATCAAAATGATTCTGTGATGTAACAGTAAAGCATTGACCTCTGTGTAGAAAACCTTGTGCTCCATGACATTCAGATCCATGGTAAAGAGGCGTGGCTGCAGGGTGGTGCAGAAAGTGTTGCCCTCCATCAGGCCGATCTGGGCGTTGGCAGGCTGGTGGCGCAGCAGGTGTTTCTTGGGAGGAACCATATCTTGCAAAACCTGAGGAGAAAAAAAAATCAGGGTGAGATTAACGACGGTAAACTGTTGTCTACTTTAAAAAGACTTTATAAAAAGTCCTTCACTTCACCTCCTTGTGTGGCTCCATGATGACAGTCACACTCTTGCCGGTCACCTGGGCCAGCACCTGCAGAGAGTGCATGGCCTGTTTTCGAACAGTGGAGTTGGGGGAGGTGACCTCTCGGACCAGGTCGTGCGTGACCATGTGGAAAGACTTGTCCTGGGCCAGCAGCAGCTCCTCTGTCTTCTCCTCATCCTTCAGAGGGGTGGCACAGCGGACCAGCAGCTGCTCCAGGGTGGTCTTTGCCATGGCCACTGCTCCGTTGGACACCTGAGGGAGAAAACAAAAAAACAAACAGTTTTGAAACAGTGGAGAAGTTGAACAGTAAAGACAACAGTAAAAGGTGTATACACAACATGTCAGATATGTAACACTTAATGTAAAACATTTGACAAAGGGTTCTATTTATTTTAAATAAATAGAACCCTTTGTCATTAATTAATTAGTTAGTTGTATAATGTTATTCGGAACTAAAAATATAATAGTGTCCTTAAATCCCACCTCTCCTGTGAGGTCCATCATGACAAAGAGCAGGGCCTTGAGAAAGGTGAGCTGGTTCTGCAGGACCCAGATGAGAGGTAGCCTCTCCATCAAGAATTTGATGGATACCACACCTCCAAGCTTGGCGTACCAGGCCTGTTCGTAACAGCAGGCGCACAAACGCTCCACGATGTAGGAGAACAAGGGCAGCTGACAAGCCTGGAGGTGACAACAACAGATGGTGCTCGACAAGCAAGGAGAGAGAAGAAGAAAAAAAAAAAAGAACCTCGGACCACAGACAGCAGACAATCTTGTTGTGATCGACTTCACATCAACTCACCCGTTCCTTGGAGCCCAGAATGATGCTGGCCACGTCAAAGATGACGGCCAAAGCCACTTCTCCAATCTTACACAGCTCCTTCTCCTCGTAGGCCATGCAGATGGCGATGGCATCAATCAGAACCAGTGGATCCATGCCTTTAGAACCGTTCTCCTCGCTGTGGAACATTGCTGTACTTGGCTGGCTGCCCGTCTGGTAGCACTGCAGCAGGAAGGGACCTGGGATAAAGGGGCAGGGTGGAGGGTCTTAACTATAAGTCTTCACAGTTAGTTAGCCATTTAGCTAATAAATAGATATAAATAATTTATTGATTTATTTTTCAAAGCCAAGCAGCAATTTGATTTGATAATTTTTTGCTAACTTAGGCTTATATCCAGTTATCCTTTAGAAATATGTTAGGTGTTTTTGTTAACTCTAAGCAACCTTTTTGTCCAAACTTTACTCTTTACCTAAAATAATTAACATATTGAACACATCTAAATGTATTAAACATATGAAAATGGGAACAACTGGAAGAACTGGGACATTTACAAATTCTAAATGTTCCCGTTGTGGGACGAATAAGATTAATGATTAAGGTTTCTCTTCTGCAGAAAAAGCTAATATTAGAATATTGGAAAGTGTTGTAGCCCCTCACCACACTGCTGAGCCACAGCCACCATGGTATAATGCCGAATCAGGCTGGCGACGAAGGGCAGCGCGCTGGGCCTGAGGTCCTTTATCACAGCAGACATGAACGCCCCGGTCAGCGCCTGTTCAAAAGTTCTGCGGGCAGGTGTGTCTTGTGCCTTGTAGCGATGAGAGATGATGACGTTGGGAATCCACTTCTCAGAGAAGCTAAAAAGTTGTAAAAAAAAAAAAAATTCAAAACAACTCTGAATTAGGTCAGCAACTTTGGAACTCTGACCAAATCAATTCAACCAGGAGTCACAGAAACTGTTTGGTTCTTAAAATAAAGTTGAAGTTGAGCAGATGTGTTCAAGTTCAACTATTACTTTTTTTTTTTTAAATATGGCTTCTTTGGCACCAGCTGCTCTCCCATGTTTTTTTTAAATGCTGCTTGAAAACACTAATTCTTTGAGTGGTGCACCTGTGTTGGCCTACTTTTACCTCAATCTCAAAAATAAAGGATCGTCCTTAGAAGGGAGAGAGTTTAACAGAATTAGCTATTCTTTATTTCCTATTCCTTTTCAAAGTCAGTGCAGAAGGAACAAAAGTGGCATAAACCTGTAAAGTAATGAAATAAAATAGAAAAATCTCAGGTGCTGATCCCCAGACCCTGGCAAACAACCTTTAAGACCTTATCATTTTTTTTCTTTGACAAGAAACCTTTTAACCCTTCTAAGTGAAACCTTTGAGTTGAAGGACTAATTTATTTAATGCTTTGCATTCAACCCATTTTATCAATAGTTCAAGTAAAAAACACAGTAGATTTCCTGTTCCTGGTTCCATCAGCCTGTTTTGTCCACTGTTGTATTTCTGGTTATTTACTGCAGCTGAAGGCCACTGGGCTGCGATGTGATTGAGCAGCTGTTTTCTCCATGCTTGAGCCTGTGTTTTATAATGCCACACGCCAGGGGCAGAGCTGATGGATCGTTCATTTCATTATTGCCATTTAAAAAACTGCTCTTTAGAAGGAGGAGGAGGAAGAGGAGAAGGTAAGGAGAAGAAGAGAAAAAGGAGAAGTGCTGCACGAGAGTAAGAGGGAGAGAAACAGGGAGAGGAGGAGGCGAGCAGGTGCAGAAAGTGGGGGTGGCATCATGGCTGACAGGATGTCAGATCAATTGGCCTTCATTCATTCAGTCTTTCTGCAGACCTGCCACTCCAACGTGGTTATGTCCTCCCAGCTGGCATTTCAAGAATTTCTCTGTGTCTTTTTTTCATTCTAAAGTGAAAGGCTATATTTACAAAGACAAAGCAAAGAGGCAGAGAGGGATGGTGGGGATCAAGTGAGCTGAGGCTCCAATACACAGAGAGAGAGAGAGAGACAGAGAGAAAGAGAGAGAGAGAGAGAGAGAGAGAGAGAAAGAGAGAAAGAGAGAGAGAGAGACAAAAGTGACAAAATCCTTCAACTGGGACTCGGCAAATATAGATGTCTGAGGAGAGGGGACGGTGGAGTCGGCCCCCTGATCATAACTGACACACTTCATTATCCCCACAGAAATGTGCTCACAGACGCCTTCATGTTCAAGCGTGTGTTTGCGCCTAATGACAGCAGAGTGTAAGGGGCAGGGAGCAGCGTAAACAGACAGAAGAAAGTCAATTAGCCTGATGCCCGGGGATCAATGATGGTAATGTGACTAACCCACACGTCAACCATCCACCCATCAGCACTTCCTTCCTGTTTGTCTATTCATGCACGTGTGTGGGCAGGGTGAAGGTGTAATTAGCCATCACCACTCCAGAGACTGAATCACTGAAGCAGTGAACGTCGAGAAGACTGGTAAAAACATGGAGACACAGACTGGGAAGTAGGTCATGTCAGCAGGTGGGACACGAGGTGGAGGCTAGGGGTGGAAGAAAATATCCATACACTGAAATACTGCGATATTTCATTTCGAGTAGAGGTAAAGACGGGTCAGTGTCTCTCTCTGTCACGCATGGTCAGTAATTCACACAGACAAATTTTTTTTGCTTCTTGTTTCAGACAAATTGAAAAAAAAAATCATCATCATTTTGTGTCTTAACTCTTCTGCACAAGTTTTTTTTTTTTAGTCAGAGAGTTCCTTCTTTGTAGAATCACTTAGACACTTGAACTAGTACTTGACTGAGGAGGAGAACTTACTTTGGATGAGACAGGAGCTGGTAAAGAGCGTGCTTGTTGTCATCCAGACTGGTCATGGCCACCAGAAAACACTTGATGACTTCCCAGGCTTGTCGTCTGTAGTATGGCTCAGTGTTGGCGCTCTTCAGACAGTCTAGAGCCGTTTCAATAGCCTTTGAAGGTAAAAAATATATATAAATATATATGTTATTTATTTCATGTTGAAACTTTAGGGTTGTAAGAAGGAGGAAGCCGAACTCGTAGAACTGCCATTTATTTTTAAGGTAATTGATCTGACTCCTATGTTTTAAAGTGAGCAGATTTGAGTGATTACAGCTTTCACTCCACATCTGATCACTGCCGTGTTTACTTTACATTTCCTTCCAAATCCCCTTCTGCTCCGTCACACTCTTTTTCAAACACTCTTTTATTTGTGTAGTTGAAATCATTTATTTTATATCTGAGGCTCAGGCTGAGTCATTCAGGGACACCCCCAGACTCATGGCAGAGTCACACAGACGTTGTCATTGTCGAGATGAAATTGAACTGCCACCTCAATTTCGGATCATGTGGACTGACGCTGGTTTTCTGCAAAGAATCGACTTTTTTTTGTTCAATTTTGTCCAGGTTTTTATGTCTCCGACATCACAGCACTCTCCATCGCTGGCCACTGATCCCTGTAGAAAGGCCTAATCCGGGTGATGTGCAGTAAAAAACAGTATTACTCTGTCGGTACACAGTGATTACCGTTTGTCTCTCTTTTGTCAATTTCCGACCAATCAGAGTCCATGCGCAGGAAGCCTGTCGTAAAGCTTTTTATTTTAAGCCCGTCCGTCTCTCGCCCGGCTGTAAAAGCCTGATTTATGGCGTGCTGCAGTGACGGTCAGGTTCAGAGGACTTTTCAGGATTTGATGGAGTGACACCTTAAACATTGCCCGTGTCTGAGTCCCTTCCTGACCGTTTACTTCATAAGTTTTACGAGTGAAATAGTAAAACTTTGTTCATTTTAATTCACACTTTTTTCCTCTGTGAATTATTTACACGTTATTTGATTTGTCTTCCTATCAGACAGCACCTGAAGCCGTCGCTGACTTGACGCTGCCACCGACCATATGGCTGCATCGCGACACCATTAGAGATATTTGCCTACAGCCTGTGCTTTTGGCTGCTCAGCCTGTGACTGTATGGCTGTGTGTGTGTGTGTGTGTGTGTGTGTGTATGTGATGTGTACACACTGCCTATGCTCATGATGATAGCAAACACACAGATGGATAGCCAGAAAGCAGACAGAGCCATTAGTGAGAGTAAATAATGCCATCATGGTGGCCCACAGTAGATTGATGATTACTGACTGGGGATGAGGAGCAGAAACAGGAGATGAATTTAATTACCTGGAGGACACACACATCTCCTCCCTTACCCACTCACCCTCTCCCACAAACACACACACACACACACACAGAGACACCCCCTGACAAAGATGTATGACTCCCTGAAAATAACCATAATGAGGAACATCAAGATATTTTGTGTTGGATTCTCTCTTTTTAAGAGAATACGGGAAAGAAAAGATGATTTAAGCAGAGGCGGTCCAGAGGCGTAAAAAATAAATCAAAACAAAAAAGAAAAGATGATTTAAGCAGAGGCGTAAAAAATAAATCAAAACAAAAAGCATCATTTCTTTACCTTCTCCATTGGAAGCTGTATGGAAGCTTTGCAGTCAGTGAACTCAGCCTTGATGCTGGGGCCCTGGACTTCAGTCACCACGTAGTGCAGCCTCTGAGACTCCTTCAGCATCTTCCTGTTGCTGCCTCCAAATTTGCCCAGCACCCGATAGGCTACATGTGAGATACTCTCAGCTGGGTTACGGAGGGTACGCCACAAAGCCTGGGAGTGTCAAATGAGTAAAAAAAAAAAAATATACATATATTTCCCATTACTGACCAGTTCAAACCTTCACTGACTCAAGGTGGAGGCCTAGTAATGTTTTAGAGCTGCGTTTTAATCTGTGGTTGTCACCATGCTGTCTAACAAATATCCAATATCTTTTTCTGTTATTAAAACAATCCATGAAAACCTAATATAATGGATTTCATTTCCCACCTGCATGAGCTCCGCCCTGACAGGCTGAATGTGGTCGTACAGGAAGTCAGGCTGCAGGTTGTCAACGCACAGCTCCAGTGTGCGGAGGCCCTGGCTGACCAGAGTCTGGGAGCCGTTCAGGGCGGACACCAGTGGGTCCATTAGCATGGGCAGGTAGGGGAGCAGGGAGCTGAGACGCACAGGGACGGTCAAACACAGCTCCACAAACAAGTCCTTCATGTGCTGCTTGTGGAGACCACTCTGAAGCATGTTCAGACCTGGAGGCAACGAGAGCAGACGTGAGGTTCAAAGACCAAGCACACGTTATTTTGGTTTGTTCACATGTTAGAGACAGTTCTGGCTTTGTTCAACCTTGCAGCAGATTTGGCAGCAGAGGCAGGAACTCCTGGTAGAGCAGGTCGTGGCTGCCTCCACCAATGGAACGAAACAGAGCCCGGAGAAGCAGGAAGTAGTTGTAGGGTTCTTTAGCTGACTGGGCCAGTTCCATAGAGCTGTTCACAATTTTGTGGAGGTGTGGCTGAAACAAAAAAAAACAATGGAGAAACACACTTGAAAAATGCTCCACACCAGCAGCGACATATGTTCAGCCAGAAATCTCCACTGACCTTCAGCATCTGCTCGTTCTCAGCTGCAAACAGTGACACGGAACCAAAGACCAGCTTGAAAAGTTTGAGGTAGAGATTTGAGAGCTCCACATTGGAGCCCATCTCTGGAAGCCTTTCCAGAAGATACTCCACCAGGATGGTAGCAAACAGAGCTGACGTGGAGAGGTTTGCCAGAAAGGAGTTTGCTACAATCTGGAAATGAAGACAGAGAACCAAATCCACGATTATACACAGAACCAGACATTCATCCAAAAAGAGAATTAAACATGCGAGTCTGCAGGTACCTGCAGAGCATAGTTCTTGGAGATCCTCTCCACCATGTACGGCACAGTCGTCTGAAAAATCTCCTTGAAAGTGAGAGGGTTCATCATGGTGAAGACTCCTGCAAAGTGCTCCAGAACCTCCTTTTCCTCCTTCATGCGTACGGTCTGACAGTTGGCCACCCTGATGTAGGTCTGCTGGTTGTTGGCAACCTGTACCTGACAAGGAGGACCAGAACTGTTAGATGAAACTTCAGGAGTGTTTCTGTGAAACATCCCTGCCCGACAAACGTGTCAGTGGTGGTACCTGGTAGATGTCCAAGGCCTGCATGGCATATTTCACCAGTTTGATGTAGATCTGTGTCTCCTTTGGCTGAAGCTGTTTGTTAGGAATAAACTGAGCTTCTGTAAAAAATAAAACAGAGTTCATCAGCAGAACAACAACAAACACCGGATTAATGAGCACTGATTGTAACTGCACGTCCTCCCACCTCCTGGGGATTTGCAGGAGCTGATGCCCCACGTGATGGTCTTCACACCACAGACCAAGGTCTTCACCAGGCTGCGACAGTCCGACACCTGGAACGTCTGCTTGTCTTCCTTTTCACCCGCTCGGTCGAAGGACGTTGGAGGTGCGGGAGGAGCAGCGACCGGTGTGGGAGGAGCAGGAGGAGGTATGGCTGGGGGGGGGGGGTGGGGGGGGGGGGGGGGGGGGGGTGGGGGGGGGGGGGGGGGTGGGGGGGGGGGGGGGGGGGGGTGGGGGGGGGGGGGGGGGGGAGCGACGGGGGTGGGAGGAGCAGGAGGAGGTATGGCTGGGGTGGTGGATGGGGTGGGTGTGGCAGGCACACCAGGCAACGCCACTGGGTCGACCACACCCATCTCTGACTGGGGCTTACACTTCTTGAAGATAGAAGGGAGCTGGTAGCGTGCGATGGTGTGGAACTTCAGCACAAAGACCTGATTTAGGAAAAAAATAGAAAGTTAGAATTCAAGCACAGTTAATGCATCAATAATGAGAAAATCATAGGCGTTTAAATACAAGGTGGTCCCACACGACAGGAACTTTTTTCTTGAGTCTGTACCTCCAGCATCCTCATCAGAATGTCCCGCCCGTTGCCGTTCTCCTGCTCCGACTTTAGTCGGATGCAGTCGACCAAGTTGAGCAGCAGCTTGCAGGACATGGTCTGAATGTTACTGGGAAGTGACTCGTCATCAATGTTTTTGGCGAAGAGCTGGACGGCGAGCGACAAATCCGTCAAGGGCAGATTCTGGCGAACGTGGTGCACCAGGTCTGCGAGCGTGCTGTAGGCCAGGGGTCTGGATGGAGACAGGAATGATACATTCATTTATTATGACATCTGAGGAGAAAAATGACAAGTGAAGTGGCAGGGAAAGCTGAAAATCACACATTTGACTGAAGTGATGGCAGGTTAAAAAAGGCACAGAGAAATGAAGCAACTACAAAGGCTGAAGAGACGACCAGTGAGACAGATCCTGAAGGGAACTGTGGACAGAAGTGAAACTGGAGAATGAATCAAAGAGGATGAAACGGTGAGTCTCATCCACCTGACTCCTTCCCTAACTGGTGATAATGAGAAATGACGGCTCTGTTTGATGAAGTGAACTTGTTCGACATCTGAGGAGAGTTCAAGGGGGCTGAACACTCCGCACACGTTCCCCCGTGCGGGCAGCACGCCCTCTGGAGATGCCTGCCTACATGACAAGTTGACAGCCCAATCTGTGCAGCGAGTGCAGACAACTTTCCTGAGATTTCTGACAGCGAGGAGGGCCCAGCTGATTAATATGCTCGGACACCGGTCGGTCAGCAAATAAGCGTGTGAGTGTGAGCTTGGAGGAGAAGTTACCTGAGAGTCTCCCGAGCCGTGTAGCCGGAGCCGATCAAGATGGATTCATCGAAAAGTTTGTCCATGCAAGGGATGAACTCTGAAACACAACCAGGTACACGGTCACGGGCGGCTTTGGAGATTCAGGAGTAACGTACGGTCAAATTATTTTCCTCTGTTGGCCACAATCAAAATGTCAGAGCGGAAATTGAGATGAATCGCTCAGAAATGTTTCAGCTGCAGAAAATCCCACTAAAGGTGTTTCACACTCTCACAATTTTCGATGGCTTGTTGAACTTTTTATTCCATTACGTTCAGTCTCATTTTTTTCCCACCGTTTGCATTTACCACAGACAGTTCTGACAGCAAATGAAAATGTTATTTTACAAGTATGAAAAATGAAAGTGTGAGTCACTGAGGAAGGCCAGACAGCAAATGCTATGACCAGAAACAACTACCTAACTAGAACATTTTTGACATTCGTGGGGCTTTAACTAACAACTAAATTAAATGTGCTAAAATCAAAAGTTTAAAAGTATTTCTTGTGTACATACGGCTGCGCAGGTCAGTGGTGAGAATGTGTTTGGCTGCGATGAGCAGCTCCTTGCGAAGATGAGCCGTCTCAGAGGGGCAGTTGGACAGCAGCTGTAACATGCCCTTAACCATCTGCTGTGAGTATTTACCAACCAGGTCCTGCAAGGATGGAAACACACAGAGAACATGTTCAAACGTAGGGACGCCTCCATGCTTCTATACTGTCTGATGGAAACACTGCAACCTACAGTACCAGCAGACATCGATACTAAGAAAATATCGATAGACTGAAATATCGCAACTTAAATGTCATGATACCGAATCAATATTCCACCACAATGTATAATTTTTAATTAACAATTAACTTTAATTTATTTTCATTAAAAGCAGGAAAATAAGTCAAACTCGGCCCAAAAGAAGCTACAATAAATATAGTTTTCTAGCAAATGATCTTATCCAAAAAGACGACCTGGAGCAAACACCTGGAATAAGCTAAAACATTGAGAAAATTAAGTTTCAACAGTCTGACATGAATGACCTAAACTGTGGTCAAACCTGGTGTGATGTTTCCTCTGGACAGTTAATATTATGGCTTATTATGCTTCGACTATAAATCACCTGACTGTAAATTATATTTTCTGTTGGGGTGGAAAGTGAAACCAGTGGATCAGGCCAGTAGAGGGAGCTGTACCTGGTAGATGCGGATGATGTAGGCCAGGAAGGACAGCGTCTTGATCTGTGCAGCGATGAAGTCGGCGTACAGCTCTTTGTTGTACAGCTTGTGTTGCCTACGAGGGGAACAGGAACAAGACGACATGATCTCCTCATTAAACACATTTAGTTTCATGGAGGCTATTAACAGCTGCACACACCTGCGGTAGGCGACAATTACACGGGTAGACAGCGAGCAGCTACTTTGGGGAGTGAACCCCACCTTTTAATGACTTCTTTTTTGTTATTTGCACAGCAGCTGTTAAAACACATCAGAAACCAACACTCTCTGTACCTGCCAGATCCTGCTGAGTTTTTTTTACCAAATTAACTCTGCTCCATTTACTTCCTGTTCAGAATGCTTAACACAGGTCTTTCTCTAGCCTGAGGTGGAGCGGGCCTCCCACTGGGCTGCTTCTTACAGTTCTTACTTCCTTAAATGGATTTTCAGCTCCAGTGTTGAGAGACAGTGCAAAGGATCAGCATCAACAAAGTTGAAGTGAAGTTAATTTAAATTAAGTTGAAGTAAAGCCCATTCTTTTTTTTCCAAACATTTTTTTCAAGGACAAATCATTTCATCAATCCATCAATTTAAATTAGGGGTGTAAGAAAATATCTCTTTGAGGAGACATGCCACTTTGATTGGGCGCTAGAGTCATGTGGGGCGCTGGACTGGCACAAAGCATAGAGACAGAGCTGTGCCTCAAGGTTGTGTTTAACTTTTAACAGGTTTACATTCACTCAGTGCAGTGAGAGGAAGAGGATGAGGTCGTGTTCCAGCACCATTTCTTCGAACTTTCCATATATTTTCCATGACAAAATGGAATAGTGGTCGTTCATTTCCAGGTTGTATCTTCTTACCTGGCCTGTTGTGACACCTGCAGCATGATGGTGTTCATGATGAGAGGCACAAACTCTGACACCACGTTGTGGATGTTCAGCTTGTAGAGCTGTGACGAAAAGTCAGGAGTCAGGGAATGGAACCAACAGTATGTTCTCATTTTACACTGGAATTATAATTTGTCATCATAATCAAAATCCTATTAGGCAAGTATAGTCGGAATTGTACGCTGTACAAACAATTTGAATATTTATCCTTCAGCTCTAAAGTCAAACCATGTCTGTTAAAAAAAAAAAAAAAAAGTCCGGGACATCACCTGGTACATCAGCACCACGATGATGGGCAGCTCAGCCAGGACCTTCAGAGACAGAGACCCTCGAGGGATGATGGTATGCTGGAATGAGAAGAGAAAGAAAGAGCACAATAAGAAAATTGTATTTAAAAATGTGACAGTGACCTACATTCAAATCTTTACCTTTAAAAAGTGACTTAGAAAATGTTTGGTTTTTTTTATAAAAAAGCATAAGTTCTTCAGTGTCAGGTTTAGAGTCACTTCATCAACTTACTTAAAATTTAATCTTCTGGTTGACTTTGGTTTACGATGAAGTCAACGTTAAACCGGCCACAGTGGAGCGACGGTATCAGTGTAAGTGGCAGTACTTTACCGCCACCCAGTGGTTAAAGAGCAGAACTAATGCAGCAGCGCTCCTATAAGGGAGTCAGATTTTCTCACCGTCCGTGTCTCGCTGTCCTCTCTCTCCGGTGCGGTCTTCACCAGCACCGACGTGATCATGCCCACCATCTCTGGGGAGGGAACGGTGTTCTCTGCGATCACCTGTGGGTTCTCGAAGTATCTAGTCTGAAAGGTGCAGAGGAAAAAAAGGGTTTGGAGCAGGTAAAGAACTTCATTTGAAAATTAGCTTTGAAAAATATTGAGGGTGTTAATCAGGAATCTAATATTAAATTGTGACTACCGGCACTATCTTTTCTTAAAGTACATTCAAAAGTTGGGGCTAACAACAGTACTAACTATTGTCCTAACTTGTAGTACAGTGTGCACTTACCACGACTTTTGGCAGGTCTTTATAAATCTGCTTGACAAAATCCAGAAAGTGGTGAATCTGTGGAGAGCAGACAGATGACAAATGTTCAAGTAACACAAAAGGATTTCAACCTGGGGATCGATTGTATTTGCCCTCATGAGGGCATCAGTGCCATTATTGTTTCTAAAAGAAAAATCAGAAGAAAGAATTAGATCACGGACGCGCCTTAATTAGCACCGCAGGAAAACATTTGGAAGGATTTCTTACAGCGTCTTCTCCAAATGCTATCATTGTTCTCAAACTCACCTCCTGAGAGATTGGAGGACGGAACTGTTTGTGCAGCTCGATGATGATGCGCAGGCATATCAACACATTCTCCTCACTTTCAATCTGGAAAAACAACAAAAACAATGTGTGACATGAGCGTGCAGCAGCTGTGCACAGCTGTGTAAAGTGTCAGCATCAGATAAACAATATTCTTCAAATACCCTTGTTATGTTGCCCATACTACACATCATTATGGATGTCACCTTCTTACTCAACACACCGTTGATGTCAGAGTAATGACCTTCACCTCTGTACAGTGGTTTATTCACTGGCTGTGGGAGCTTAATAATCAGAACTCCACAGGTGATGATGACTCACTCTGCAGCCCTTCATTCATGCCCTCACATCCGTCGTTCCTGTCTTCCTCAGGAATGTAACTAGACTTAAATGCGAGGTCTCCTTACTAGCTATTTTCACAAGCACGTGATCGCCCCACCATGTATCCCGCTACCTGTCCAGGTACTGTCCAGCAGGGTCACTCCTGTGTCTCGCAACTACAAGTTCTGTACAAGTCTTAAAGATGTTCTTGTTGGGGTTTTTTCCACAAATAGAGTTTAAATAATGTTTTTTTTGAGTTTACAGTAGTATAACGCAACCAAAAATAATGGTATTTTTAGGGCATTTATACATGAATTACCTGAGGACTAATGACAAAATCATTTAATGTTTGAGAATGAAGCCATTCTGCCTTCAAGTACAGTAGAAACACTTCTTCCAAAGACAGGGAAGGCGTCACTGGCCTTAATGGCTGTGAGGTTTCTATACCTAGTAGTATGGGCCGCATTAGACTTCTTTTTGGCCAACTAATTTGAGACAGAAACATTTAAATGATGCTGCGTACATGAGATGTGCCCTTACCTCCAGGAAGCGAAACATCACAGACAGGATGTTCTTGGTGTGAGGACGAAGATGCTCATTGGTTGGGATGCGGTGGATGATTTCCAGCACAAGTTTTCTCAGTTGCTAAAAAAGTAAAAAGTACAGGTGAGCAAGTCTTTAAAAAAAAACAAAGGCTAAATATCTATTGATCTCTTCATATCTAGGCTAATTAAGATTAATTTATTATTGCTATATAATTAGCTACAAATTAGAATTTTAACGGTTATACTGTGCTGAGGACAGTTTTTTTCCATTAACAGATAATCATTTCCAGATGTTACAAATGGAAGTTATTTTTCATCCAAAGTCACAAACCTGTGTAGGTTTTTCCTGAAGAAACTGCACCTCTCCATCCTGAAGGAAAGTGAGGAAGCGAGGGATGATGTGTTCCAGAAAGGTGGAGTATTGAGGTGATGATGTCACATTCTGAAAAACAAATATTTTATGCAAGCTTTAAATCAGAAACCGTTTTCTTCTGCTTTGAATTTATTATTTAAAAAAACAAAAACAAATTTTAAACATCTGCGTGTCTTTTAAATCAACCAGGTTTAATCAACATGTAGAAAGGAGACATAGAAATTGAATCCTTTCCATCTTGCACTGAGAACCTCAGACTCACCTCAAAGTTCTCGCTGACCTCCTGCATCATCTTCAGTTTCGTTTCATCAGCTTGAAGATGAAGGACAGAGTGCACTCATTAATCACACATACTAATTAAAGCCTTTCCAACTTTATGACCACCTCCATGTGCTCAGCAGGGACGCTCAGATCTTATCAGTTTGACTTTCAGCGTCCAGATTAATTAGGAGGTACAAATGCTCATACTCACACATTCACACAAACTCTTCCAGACACATACACACACATTTGTACCTCTGTCTGGACTAAAGCATATCGCTCTCATCACATCGCCCATGATGAGCACATACATAACGTAACTCCTTTGAAAAATTAAGGGAGAAATTCAATTTTAAAAATGAAGTTACTACCACAAAAAAGTCTTAAATATAAATAATAAAACTGACCCTGGGGATGAACTTACGTGTGTTGGTGTCTGTGAGCGCTGCCACAAACTGCAGGTACTTCTTCATTAGTGTGGTCTGATCCACCACAGTGGGGCTGGGGGCCGGCACGAAGGCCATGCTGGCAGCTGAGGCAGAGAGGGCTGCTGAGGGGAGGAACGAGGCAGACAGAAGTCTGCACAGATCTCACTGAGAGCCCATGTACGCTGTGGGCAGGGCAGAGAAAAGAGAGACTCTGAAAACTACTCTTTGTGGTTCTTTGCATTTATTTTCACTTACACTAGTGTAGTACCATTTAATGTAGTAACAAATTATTGACATTCCAAAATATTAGCAACACTGTAAAACCAAAACTTTTCATCTTCTGCGCCTTGTTTCCATTTGTCTATGTCGGTAATAAATCTTTATCACCAGCCTTCACGTCACCTGGTTCTTTTACCACAACTAAACATAGATTAATAACATTGATCTTTACTAAAAAAGAAACTACCAGTAAAGGTTTAATTTGAACTAGGAATACAGTACCTTTAATAGTTACTATTGCAAACGAAAAATATCATTTGCAACTGCAATTGTATATGTTAATGACTTGCAATGTGTATAATAATGAAAAACGAAAAATAAAATTCAATATTATGAGAGAATGGGAGAAAAACAAACAGGAGAAATCAACAAAAACTAAAATAAATGTGTAACAAGGCAATAGCATATAAACACACCATGCCGCTTCTTATTAATGTATCAAAATGTAAACAAAGTTCGTAATTTGAATTTTTTTTTGCAACAAACTCTTAAAGATCGGTGAGTAAAATACCATCCTTGCGTACAACAGAATACAAAAACAAATTTAATACTATTTCTGCACACTGTAAACACATTAGCATCCTTCGGCAAAAGAAGCTAGCGCCCCAAAGAAAGAAAGCGCTCGTGCATCACCAATTTAAACAGTTATGGCTAGAAAACCACAAATCAGGAAATTGAATAATTCTTTAAAAATTCAAAATTGTGTACACATGGCAGTATGTACACGAGCAATTGGAACATAATATTACGACAGAATAAGTTTAAAAATCCAAACAGAACCATTTGTACTCACCAGACGGCACAGACAGGAAACCGTCGCTCTAATTGCACCGGGCTCGCGCTGTTTCAGTGCGGGAGCCTGGAAGCCAAATATCCTTCCGCGAAATTATAATTTAAGTTTTACACTAAATTTAAAATGTTAAAATAATGTCTGTATTTAATTTTGTAGTCGAAAAAATGAATGTATCTATTTATGGTAAGGTCAAATAAGGTACTTTGGCCTAGATGTTTATTCAAGTCCCATCGGAAGGATACATAGCGAAAACAAGTCAACGTAAGACCATCGTTTTTGATGGTCTTCTGTTACGCGGTGAATCTGAAGGTGTACTTACGTATTCTTTTATAAAAATATAAATTATGTGCAGACAATCCATAAAATGCATAAAAAATACATTAGTATGCCAAACGACAAATTCAGACATATGTATTTAGACATATAAATGCATTTAGATTACTAAAAGCCAGACTAATACATCCCACTTAATTTTAAATGTTTTTCTCGGTGATCCTTAATATGTTCCCATGTCAGACTTGCCATCAAACACAAATAACTAAAATGTATATTGGGCATGATTTAAACATGTTGCCGTAGTGCTTCCTTTACCCACCAGATGGCAGTACATTAACAATGACAGTGAGGGTGTGATCCGAAAATCCAAAAAAATACGGTAATTCCAGCTTAATATCAATAGTCTAACGGTACAGTTTGTTCTAAATCTCTTCAATTAAACGAATTCTTACAGACATTTCCATTAATGATAAAATCAAACCACTTCTTTACATTTCTATATATTCAGAACGAGAACAAAACAACAGAGGCAATGTCTGATGTGATTTTTAATAACTTAATAATAGAGATTTTCACAAGGCTGGGACAGAGCAACAGGAAAGACGCAACAATAGTAGGAACTGTCTGGATTCTGCACCAGAATAACCATTTTGACCAAATGTACACTGTTTGTCCAGTTTTTTTTTTATATAGCAATCTGCTATGAGTTATGGCAACAGTCATCTTCTGATACAGTACAGAGATGAGTCAAGTGTTAGAGCTGCTGCTGCTGCTGCTGCTGCTGCTGCTGCTGCTGCTGTGGAGGAAGTGATGTGAAGTTTCCAGCAGCCCCTGGTCAAACAGCGTTACAGTGAAGTGCAGTGGTATGAAGTACTGGCACACTGTGAGTGCTGGAGTCCAGAACAGCCTCATATCCCAGGGTTTTTTCTGACAAATCACCTGCACCAAACCACACAGAGAAAACCAACAAGTTCTGCTCATGAAGACACAGGAGCTGCTGCCGACATTCAGCCCCATCAGGTGAAGGTGTGTCACAGAGATGAATCCAAACTATTCATTTAATTTGCCACTGTCACAGATAAATCCATCCAATATGAAGTTGTTACAAAGTCAGAAAAAAATGTACTTCAGATTTAATTTAGTGTTCAGCCATATCTTACACCAGTGTCACACTGACTCCTGTGTTTTGCTGTTCTTCCCGTAGGGATTAGGGTGAGAAAGGAAGTGTGTCACCATTTTTTTGTTTGTTTTCACAGGGATGTGAGTAGTTTTTAATGTGTAGCTGAGTTTGGAATATATCTTACCACACAGATATGAGCGAGTATATATTTATCAGGGAGATTTGACAAATGCCATGTTAACAGGCTGATGTTGTTAATGAATGTCCAAACAGACGACTGCACATTTGATGAACTCACTCTTCCTGACCACCTTACAGCCATATTACTCTAACTAACCGCATGTGATACTGTTGTTGACTGTTACTGTCTGAACAGACTTTACCACAAGAACAGGAACAATTATAATTAGTTAATAACTAGTTAATGTTTGTTAGCAGTTAACTTAATGTTGAGTTTTGTTTTTAATTTTATATTATTCTTCATTATATATATATATATATATATACATCTGTATTTTCTGACTGGTGGATCAACAGTCAAAAGATTAAAAGTCAAAGGTTGTGGATAGGGCTGACATCGTGAACCACAAATGAATTAACCCCAGTGTTTCATTGATTTGAAAGGAAATGACTTAATTGCATGACGTAGGGGAGCTGAACTCCACCTTCTGTGTCCCAAATGAAAGTGGAAACGCGGGCCTCTTCCTGTGCTGCTCCGGACATCTGCACTAAACACAGGGATTATTCACAAAATGGACGGCCGTTTCCTATGTGATGCAAAGAAGGGGTTTACTTCCAGTGAGGATAGACAGAGGCAGAATGAAACGTGTCACACGTTCAAGCCCCCACCCCCCACCTTAAGTCTCTTTATCATCCACAAGAACAACTGGAAGACAGAGTGAGTGAGGAGGAAGTTATGACGAGAACAAGCTGCAAATTAATTGGCGGAGCCAAAGCTGTGGATGGAGAATGTTGACGCCTGGAGCCTCTGAGGAGGAAAAACAAGGGAAAGCATCAGTTTTCTATTTATAGGAATGAATGGAAAATGGTTGAGAGCCAGTGTGTTGTCATGTCGTGGGTGTAGTTTAAATGATCATTTCTGTCTCTCTGTCTCTGTCTCTCTGTCTCAGGAACTGTGGCACAGGCTTATACAACATGTGTTAATCCTGCACAGAGAAACATTTAAGTCAGTGACACATGATTAGATCATGGGACAGAATGTCTCTTTGGACGATAGAACAGCATTGGCTTCAAGGAGACTCTGTGAACATCTGCTGTGGATTATTGTCAACACAGGCTCTAAACGGTACAGTCAAAAGAGCGCCCTCTTCCTGTTGTCCGGAGAGAACGCAACAGAGATAATTTGGAATTATGTTGAAATATAGAAAAAGTCACAATGAGTAGCCAACTGAAAACACAACAACAGTTAACAAGTTGTGCTAAGCACAAACCAACTGTTTATCCAGGCCTAATTAGACAACTACCCATAAATGCAAATATCTCATCAGCCAATCACATCACAGGATAAGCAAATGTATTTTTGCCTAAAGAAATTGTCAAACTGCTAAAGTTTTAACCAAACCGAACACTAAAAAAGTGACTATTGTAGGTTTTCTAATGGATTAAGAAAACTAATGCAGTATATACAGTATTTAGTTACAGAGGTCAAAGGGTCAGGACCACAACAAAAACCTAAAAATCCAGTTGACAACTAAACAAAGGTGTAGCAGTAGAAACACCAACCAAAGCGTTGTGGGTGGTGTCGGGGGTACAATGAGACATTTTCTGACCCTTGACACAAATGGGATCACATTTCATAACATTGCCTGGACGGAGGAGAGCAGAACAACGACATCATTTCCTTTGCTCCTCACTTTCTTCCACTGTCCCTCGGAGCGACGGACATATTGTCCTCGAATGCAACTCCCTTCCTGAACCTGTGGCTACAGACTGCGTGCTGCTTCCATGTTCTCCCTGTCACTGCATCACTCGTGGCGTGGCCCCGGATCTTCCCTGGAACAGCGCTGGTGAATCATGAGCTCATGTGGGCCGGGACCTACAGGAAGCTGGAGTTCTTTAAACACGAGGGTTTAAAAGTGTAGCCAGGAATGACATCAGCAAACAAATACTGGAAACAGCATCAGCAGCAGCACAGGAGTGTTATCAGAGTAGTTAACCAAAGAAATGAATATCCTTTAACATCATCATTAAGTATTTGACTGACGTTTATGTTTCAGTACTGCAGATCTAAGATATAAGGAGTTTTTCTACTGAATGAAACTAAATATTCTAGAAGGAACACTGATAAGTGACGCGTCTAAAGAGTCATTAGAATAGGTATTCTGTGAGATAAGGGGGGAAAACTATAAAGAAAGAGACATGTGAAAAGGTTGTAAAGAAAAACTTGGTGGAGAATTGTCAGCTGAAGAAGATGGAGCTGGTGACAGATCCTCTCCTAACTAACTGACCTGTATGATATGATGGCCTGTGATGACGTAATGAAGGCGCTAAAACTAAAAGTGTGTTGTTTTTTTGTTTTGTTTTTTGGAATTATTAGTCATCATATAGACATCATATCATACCGACCTGAAATGTGATGATGGCATGAATGATTTTTCAAATAACGGAGCCGATGCTAATAAGGTGCAGAGTTCTACTATGTAAACTGAGATTAGGTCAAGGTTAGGATAAGATTAGGATTAGACTCGTAGACATAAATCAATGGAGTGTATATGAATCGATTTCTTGTGTGTTGGTTGGGGTGGGGTATGGGCGGGGCGATGTGACGTTACGCTCTCTCCGCGCAGCTTATGTGAATTCAGGAGGAGGGAGCAGATGAAGATGGAGCAGAGGAGGAGAAAACACCACTGCTCCGTCTGTCACACACACTTCACTCCAATATCTGGTCTGCACTCAGTGACGGAGCTCTGACGTTTTTGTTCTGACCCCGAAAACCTCTGACGTTTTCTAATTTATTAGGTTTTTTTTTTGTCCAACCTGCTTTTCTCCGCCGATTCTGGTCCATTCTGGACGGTCCGTGAACGCAGCACCGACTGCGCTTCGACCGACAGAAAGCCCCGGTCAGAGCATCATCACCATCACCATCATCACCAGCAGACACCTTCAGGTTTGGACCACACCACGGTTCCTGCCGCTGCCGAGGAGGAGAAGATGGACGAGGACAATCACAGTAAGACACGGTTCATTGTTGTCTTTTATTATTGTCACCACAAGAACGGCCATGGAGGGTTCCTGTCCCCATCTGCCCGCATGCATGTAGGGATGGGTGGTGTGTGTGTGTGTGAGCAGATGGAGGTGCATCTGATCAGAGATGTTGTGGTTGTTATTCCAGACCTGACAACAACTAAAAACAACCACACACTGGGGTTCAACACCTGTTAATAAGGAGCCGTTCACAACACTACAACAGGCAGGTTGGACCGTTCTCTCACATGTTCTCTCACATGTTCTCTAACATGTTCTCTCACATGTTCTCTCTCTGAGAGAGTCTGTGTTGTAACATTGAGGATACTGTTGTTGAACTGTCACCCCTCTCCCCCCATCCACCCCCACACAGGTTGTCCATGTCGCCCCTCATTGGTTTACAAAGTCTCCATGGCTCCACACAGATAGTTCTGACTAGTTACACTTACCCAGATATCGTAGCTAATTGTCGGTAGCATGCAGATGTAGCCCACTTGGATGTAGTACAATTTATGATGTCGACATTGTGACCCAAAGTATTTGGGCTTGTTTTACTTCTGGTTGACATGTGGCCCACCTGAGTGGCATCACTTTATGTGACATGTAGTTCATACAAAAATGTCAAATATCAGTGTTAGAGCTGCAGGAGAGTCACTGGTGTTACTGTCCGGCCCACATTCTTCCAAGCAGAGCAGTAAAATGTTCAGAATCATTTGTTTTACGCGTTGAGGCTGCAGTGTCCTACAAACAGACTCAGTAAATAATAAAATATTGTTAAAAACTTATCGTTGGGAAATATCTAGCTTGCAATGTATTGATTAAACGCCGATATTTTTAAGGAGCCACAAGAGGGCGTTGTTCTTCCAGGCGCCTTGAAGCCTTTCCTTTAGGATTCTGTTTAAAAACTCATATTCTGGTAATAGTATTCTCTGAACATCAAACTGTTTTTCTTTCACTTCTTTCCTGACATATTAATGTCACACTCATGGTGCTGTGACGTCATCAGAGGTTGTTACTGTGAAACAGAATAACTCCACTCAGAATCACAGCACAGGGACATTTGACATCGTTTACACACAGAGACCTGGCTGAGGTCACATCTAAATGAACTGAACTGCCCAAATACCAAATAACGTGCATTTATTCGCCATTTTTCCGTCTGTTTGAAGTCTGCGCCCTGCTTTGAAGTTTCTCTCACTATCTGCACGGTTGCTGTTTGAAGTCTGCAAACTGGTGGGAAATGATAAGAAAGTCTGAGTGACTGGCTTCAGGATGGACAACGGACCTGTTACCTCCATCTCTGTAGTTACACATTGTGACGACCACAGAAACGGTCAGTGAACCAGCATCGTGACGACCACAGAAACGGTCAGTGAACGCATCAAGGGAAGTTGATGGAGCGGTAATGATGCACAGAAATCCATTAGTCCAGATGTACAACAAGGCCGTCATCTGAGCTTCCTGTTACTGTTGCATTTCAGCACCTAATGTTCTGTGTAGGTGGAGGTTAAGTCAGGTGAAGTCACATGTTTGAACATTTGGTCCCAGAATGCATTTTGGAGATAAAGAGGAGTGAAGTGAAGCAGAGCAGCTGCAGATTTCTACCTCCATTACTGCTCACACACAGCTGCTGCTGCTGCTGCTGCTTTAATATTGTATGACCAAGAGAACACACACACACATATATATATTTACTGTACATACACATATGTCTGATGTCCCTGAGCTGGATTATCCAAACGGTCTTTGGGGGCTCAAGGCTTTGAAGGCGATGTGGTGCAAACAAAAGCCTGATAAGAGTCTGTCAGTTAAACTGTGACAGATTAACAGACGCTCTCATCGGGACTTCCTCTTTTTTTGTTCCCTTTATTACTTCTTGAGTCTGATCAGTGCGATATACGTTGGAAAGACTTAAAGCTCTGTTGTTGTTGTTTTTTTTAAGCCCTGGTAGATGTGAAGGTTTGACGTGAAGGATATTTTCATTTTAGTTCAGTGGAAAATCCTGTGTTTTTATTTAATCTTTATTTAATTCCAGATTATAATGTTCATCTCCTCCCTCTCAACAGTAACATAATAACAGTTATCCGCTGTAGCAAGAACTGGTCACAACTGTAATGTAATATGGGACTGATAACACATGCATTTATGGACTGTTATGAAGCTGATTCTCCCTGAAGTTTGAATGAAATCCTGACCAAAAGATAAAGCTTTCAGGCCAAGACATTTAATGATTTCACCGTCTAACATTTTCCCTCAATTCTACAAAATATTAAATCTTGATCAAATAGATGGTGCCACCAGCCCTCATTCATTAGTACATTATTACAGCACTGAGGAACTACAACGTTGAGGTAGAACTGTGGGAAAATTGGGAAAATTGTCAATTTACAAACAATTTCAAGGACTATTTTCAAATGTGTCCATCACTTTGTGGCTCTAGTAGATTCCACACTCGCCTTTTTGTGACCCTAACTGTGCCGCGCTCCATATTTGAACCCCATGACCAACAAGAAGTCAGTGTGAGAGACCGAGAAGGTCCTGGGTGAATCCTGTGACAGGATGTGAGAGAGCAGGAAGGTCACGGTGTCTGCTGATCACACTGGAAACACACACACACACACACACACACTCACACACGTGTGTTTGGATCATTAAAATAACTTACCGTAGATGTTAACCTCACCACCCTCTCTGGTTGTCACCCATGCTGCCTCACACCCGTCACTTAACATTGTTCACAATCACACCCAGATTTCACTATCGACATCCAAAGCTATTTTAAGCCACTTCTCTGTGTGTGTGTGTGTGTGTGTGTGTGTGTATGTGTTGCATGCCAACACATGTGCACGCTATCAACATGTGTGTGCATCAGTGAACACGTTCACACGCCCGTCTGTACAGTACACTCTGTAGTGTAGTGTGCAACATATGTTGAGAGATGAGGCTGTGATTATTTCTGCACCAGTGGACCAATCAGAGAAGGCCGCGCTGTGGCTGAACCAGATGACAGATGACGAGCTCCGAGATGAACAGCTGCTGTAGATTATCAAATATTCATGTTTCTACGACGCAACTGAGGTGAACAAGAAACAGAGAAACACTGTGGGTGGCTGAGCTGTGGGGTCAACATGGGGTCACGTCTGTGGTCAGTCACTGGTATACAGTGGGAGAACAGTCGGTACTTCCTGTCCACCACAGTACTGTAGGTGAACAGCACAGCTCACTGATCCACAGGTTCACTATTCATCAGGTTTAACGTCTATAAACCAGCCAAACAATTTCATTGCTTAACAACCAACTAACCAACTAACCAACCTACAAAAAGTCCATCCATCCAACCTACCAGACAACAGGACAAACATGGCATAATCTTTTTCTTCTGGGGACCCGTATTTTAAAAGTCACAAACCTTTGTGACCCAAGTCAATAGACATTATTCTGAAACTCCTGGGAAACATGATGCGAGACGTCCCAAAAAAAAATCTCTTTAGACCCACCTGAGGGTCGCAACCCAGTCTTTGAAAACAATGATCTAACCAACCATTTGAGTTACTAACCGACCACTGTCTCTTTCTCCGTCTTCTGCTCTGGAGACATGTCGGTTCAAGATGGCCGTCATTTCTACATATAAGAGACTGATTCTGACTGAGTGGAAACCAAACCATTGTTGTGTCAAACACTCATGAGTGGTGAGTTCACTTACACACTGGAGCCTTGATGGACTTCAGAGGTGACGTAACACCTGAAGACCAACATGCAGCACACACTGTGTGATCTGTCTGCCTCACCACTGAGCCACAGCTGTAAACTCTGCCACTGTGTGTGTGTGTGTGTGTGTTGGCTGTGGGACTGGAATTCATTAGGCCAAGTTTACAGAGCTCTTTAATCACAGTTGGCGCTCCGCTGCTTAGTTTACACACCACAGCGCCAGACTGGGCCTGGCCCCAAACCAGGACTACCAGCAGTAAGAGCAGAGGAAGTAACAGCAGCAGGAACAGCAGCAGCAGTAACAGCAGTAACAGCAGCAGCAGCAGTAACAGTAACAGTAACAGCAGCAGTAACAGCAGCAGCAACAACACCAACAGCAGCAGCAACAGCAGCAGCAGCAAAAGCAGCAGCAGTAACAGCAGCAGGGACAGTAACAGCAGCAGCAGCAACAGTAACAGCAGCAGCAACAACACCAACAGCAGCAGCAACAGCAGCAGCAGCAGCAACAGCAGCAGCAACAGTAACAGCAGCAGCAACAACACCAACAGCAGCAGCAACAGCAGCAGCAGTAACAGCAGTAACAGCAGCAGCAGCAGTAACAGTAACAGTAACAGCAGCAGTAACAGCAGCATCAGCAGCAGGAGCAGTAACAGCAGCAGTAACAGTAACAGCAGCAGCAACAACACCAACAGCAGCAGCAACAGCAGCAGCAACAGTAACAGCAGCAGCAGTAACATCAGCAGCAGCAGTAACAGCAGCATCAGCAGCAGCAGCAGTAACAGTAACAGTAACAGCAGCAGTAACAGCAGCATCAGCAGCAGCAGCAGTAACAGTAACAGCAGTAGCAGTAACAGCAGCAGCAGCAGGAGCAGTAACAGCAGCAGTAACAGCAGCAGCAACAACACCAACAGCAGCAGCAACAGCAGCAGCAGCAGCAGCAGTAACAGCAGCATCAGCAGCAGCAGCAGTAACAGTAACAGCAGTAACAGCAGCAGCAGTAGCAGCAGCAGCAGCAGTAACAGTAACAGTAACAGCAGCAGTAACAGCAGCAGCTCAGGCCTGAAAATCTGGTGTGGTTTTTTATTATTTTTTTAATTAGTCACAGGTCTATTTTTAGCTTTATGGTATAGTTGGAGTGAGAAGTGGAAGAAGGCAGAGAGTCTGTGAAGCACGGCACTGAACAACTGCAGACTGGAAGTGAACTTGAACTTCTCTACTCCTCACAAATGAACTCCTCATCACAAAGTATTTGGAAAGGCCTGAAGACAGACCTTTTAC